AGAGGTATACAATCAGTCTAGTACCGAGCCGAGGGGTATGAGCTACGAGGAGAGACTACGGGAACTAAACATCGCGTCACTGGAAGACAGAAGAGTTCGGGGAGACATGATCCCCACGTACAAAAATTATCAGAGGAATTGACAGGGTAGATAAAGACAATTTATTTGGACCGTCGTGGACCATTATCAAGTCCACTTGACTTAATAGTGGTCCTGGACGGACCGAAACGTCATCGCTTCTCCATCTTCTGAGTAGTGGTTTGGTCATCTTGACTTTTTTAGTGTCGGAGTAGTTAACAAATGGAATGCACTAGACAGTGATGTGGTGGAGGCTGACTCGATACATAGTTTCAAATGTAGATATGATAGACTCTAATAGGCTCAGGAACCTGTTCACCTGTTAATTGAATGTTGGGAGGCGGGACGAAGAGCGGAAGCTCAACCCCGCAAGCACAACTAGGTGAGTACACAGACTCCTCTCTCTCTCTCTCTCTCTCTCTCTCTATATATATATATATATATATATATATATATATATATATATATGCCTAAGGCACAACTCTCCTAAACACGAGAGTGAAGTATACAACTTTAGAACACTTTCCCACCAGGAGACTCGAACCCTAGCCAGCACAGAAGCCTTCCAGCAACTGGCATAACAGGTACGCCTTAACCCGCTCCACCACCTGCTCAGACCCTTAAAAGAGATGGTAATTTCGGAGTATTTATACACTCCAAAGATATACCACCTCCCAAGAGCACTAGAGCAAGTGAGGGGTCATTTGTACGTTTTTTCATCCAGTCCCTGTTAATATGGGAGAACACTGTGTCTATGCTTAAGGCACAACTCTCCTAAACACGAGAGTGAAGTATACAACTTTAGAACACTCCCACCAGGAGACTCCAACCCTAGCCAGCACAGAAGCCTTCCAGCAACTGGCATAACAGGTACGCCTTAACCCGCTCCACCACCTGCTCAGACCCTTAAAAGAGATGGTAATTTCGGAGTATTTATACACTCCAAAGATATACCACCTCCCAAGAGCACTAGAGCAAGTGAGGGGTCATTTGTACGTTTTTTCATCCAGTCCCTGTTTGGTTAAGGCGTACCTGTTATGCCAGTTCCTGGAAGGCTTCTGTGCTGGCTAGGGTTCGAGTCTCCTGGTGGGAAAGTGTTCTAAAGTTGTATACTTCACTCTCGTGTTTAGGAGAGTTGTGCCTTAAGCATAGACACAGTGTTCTCCCATATAACAGGGACTGGATGAAAAAACGTACAAATGACCCCTCACTTGCTCTAGTGCTCTTGGGAGGTGGTATATCTTTGGAGTGTAAAAATACTCCGAAATTACCATCTCTTTTAAAGGTCTGAGCAGGTGGTGGAGCGGGTTAAGGCATACCTGTTATGCCAGTTGCTGGAAGGCTTCTGTGCTGGCTAGGGTTCGAGTCTCCTGGATATATATATATATATATATATATATATGTATATATATATATATAGTAACAGATAACAATCACTGTTCGAATACCTCATCCAGCTCTTTGGAGGTGCGGTACGTGCCCAAGATATAGCAAGCATTTCCTCTCTGCATCGCGACACTGAGGCGCTGGAACAAGAAACTGACCGCTCTTGAGTTTCTAGTTTGCCTAATGAGTTCCAAACCCCTCCTCCTTTAGGAACCTATATACCTCTACCGGTGTCTCAGGATGATGCCATAAGTACCACACTCACCTCTCAAGAAGTCCACCTTTTAAGAACCTTATGATACTCTACCACAGTGGCCTCCGACCACTGTGGTAGAGTGGAAAGTATACTAAGTGAAAGTATATCTGAATCCTCGAGAATTAGGAAGTGGTGAGTATACTGATGAGGCCTAATTTGAATAATAAAAAGTGTGGCAGCGGTTCGCAGGTCTTTTGAATACAAGTAACAGTGCTGCCTGTCCCCAAAAGTTAGTAATCACTATTCTAAACGGTTCTTATAAAAGGCCATTTGCATGGTTGAAAAGTTTCATCATTTGATTGGCCTTTAACACCAGCTGAACTGGCCCATGACAGAATGACATTCATTCAGATATTTTCTGCCAATCAGGACTCCCGAGGGCTGAAGTTCTGACGTGTATTGTAATTCTGGTTGAAAACAGTGTGTTGAAAACCCCGACAATTGTTTTGTTCACAGACTAAATAATTACATAAACTCTGAACTAAGTTCTGCCTCAAAGAATGACGATGTGGTTGTGCAACCCGTTCTCGCACTTGCTTATAGTCAATATCTTGCTTATGAATAAGTGCATATGTGACATGCTAATTTATTGTGAATATTTGAGTTTACCTTGAAATGTTGAATAGACAAACCACAACCTAACCTAACCTTCTTAGTATGTTAAGATTGGATTGTGGTGGTTTGTGACTGGTAGTGTGTTTGTTGCAGAGTTCTTACCTGTTTGTGCCCTCAGGACCGAACGTTGGTTCTTGGCTCCCAGATTCCAGCCGCCTGTCCTCTAGTGCAATAAACCCGAGCTAAATATCCCATATCATCTTTACACTATTCTATCTTGCATCTTTATGGCTTATCTACGTCTTATTCTATTGGTATCCATTATAATTATATCTTTTCGCCATGCCTATTGCCCTAAGTATTTTGTATGTCTAAATCAGGTCTACTTTCCCTCTCTTCTGTATTTTAGCTCCATTTAATCCACCTATTTTCAACCTTCCACCGTTCCCACTCCGAAGCAATTCTGGGATGAGCCTCATTGCAAACTTCAATAACTTTTTAAAATCCCTTACGTAATTTTTTTGAGGTTGGGCCCCATGACTGGCTGCATGCTCTAGGAATGGTCTCACGTAGGTGGCGTAAAGGGGATCTGAAAACCTCCTTATTGAGATTCATGAGAGGCGGCACTCATGCTCGAAAGTTTAAAGTATGGTGATCATGCTATACTATTTTCACGAAGCTTAGTGGTGAAGCGCTTAATGTTGTACCCGCTTGTTGTACCCGCTTGGTGATGTACCCGCTTGGTGATGTACCCGCTTGGTGATGTACCCGCTTGTTGTACCCGCTTGGTGTTGTACCCGCTTGATGTTGTACCCGCTTGTTGTACCCGCTTGTTGTACCCGCTTGTTGTACCCGCTTGGTGTTGTACCCGCTTGCTGTTGTACCCGCTTGGTGTTGTACCCGCTTGGTTTTGTACCCGCTTGGTGATGTACCCGCTTGGTTTTGTACCCGCTTGGTGATGTACCCGCTTGGTGTTGTACCCGCTTGTTGTACCCGCTTGGTGTTGTACCCGCTTGGTGTTGTACCCGCTTGGTGATGTACCCGCTTGGTGTTGTACCCGCTTGGTGTTGTACCCGCTTGGTGATGTACCCGCTTGGTGTTGTACCCGCTTGTTGTTGTACCCGCCTGGTGTTGTACCCGCTTGGTGTTGTACCCGCTTGGTGCTGTATCCGCTTGGTGATGTACCCGCTTGGTGTTGTACCCGCCTGGTGTTGTACACGCTTGGTGGTGTGCCCGCGAGGTCCTGTACCCGCTTGGTGTTGTACCCGCTTGGTGTTGTAACCGCTTGGTGTTGTACCCGCTTGTTGTACCAGCTTGTTGTACCCGCTTGGTGATGTACCCGCTTGGTGATGTACCCGCTTGATGATGTACCCGCTTGGTGATGTACCCGCTTGGTGATGTACCCGCTTGGTGTTGTACCCGCTTGATGATGTACCCGCTTGGTGATGTACCCGCTTGGTGATGTACCCGCTTGGTGATGCACCCGCTTGATGTTGTACCCGCTTGATGTTGTACCCGCTTGATGATGTACCCGCTTGGTGTTGTACCCGCTTGGTGATGTACCCGCTTGATGTTGTACCCGCTTGGTGTGTTGTACCCGCTTGGTGTTGTACCCGCTTGGTTTTGTACCCGCTTGGTGATGTACCCGCTTGGTTTTGTACCCGCTTGGTGATGTACCCGCTTGGTGTTGTACCCGCTTGTTGTACCCGCTTGGTGTACCCGCTTGGTGTTGTACCCGCTTGGTGTTGTACCCGCTTGGTGATGTACCCGCTTGGTGTTGTACCCGCTTGTTGTTGTACCCGCTGGTGTTGTACCCGCTTGGTGTTGTACCCGCTTGGTGCTGTATCCGCTTGGTGATGTACCCGCTTGGTGTTGTACCCGCCTGGTGTTGTACTCGCTTGGTGCTGTACCCGCTTGGTGATGTACCCGCTTGGTGTTGTACCCGCTTGGTGTTGTAACCGCTTGGTGTTGTACCCGCTTGTTGTACCAGCTTGTTGTACCCGCTTGGTGATGTACCCGCTTGGTGATGTACCCGCTTGATGATGTACCCGCTTGGTGATGTACCGCTGGTGATGTACCCGCTTGGTGTTGTACCCGCTTGATGCTGTACCCGCTTGGTGATGTACCCGCTTGGTGATGTACCCGCTTGGTGATGTACCCGCTTGGTGTTGTACCCGCTTGTTGTACCCGCTTGGTGATGTACCCGCTTCGTGTTGTACCCGCTTGGTGATGTACCCGCTTGGTGTTGTACCCGCTTGGTGATGTACCCGCTTGGTGTTGTACCCGCTTGGTGATGTACCCGCTTGGTGATGTACCCGCTTGGTGATGTACCCGCTTGATGTTGTACCCGCTTGGTGATGTACCCGCTTGGTGTTGTACCCGCTTGGTGATGCACCCGCTTGGTGATGTACCCGCTTGGTGTTGTACTAGCTTGGTGATGTACCCGCTTGGTGATGTACCCGCTTGTTGTACCCGCTTGGTGATGTACCCGCTTGGTGTTGTACCCGCTTGGTGATGTACCCGCTTGGTGTTGTACTAGCTTGGTGATGTACCCGCTTGGTATTGTACCCGCTTGTTGTACCCGCTTGATGATGTACCCGCTTGGTGATGTTTACCACTCCAACTACAGTGCCAGAGAACCACTCCACCTACAGTGATGAGAACCACTCCACCAACAGTGCCAGAGAACCACTCCACCAACAGTGCTGGAGAACCACTCCACCAACAGTGATGAGAACCACTCCACCTACAGTGCCAGAGAACCACTCCACCAACAGTGCTGGAGAACCACTCCACCAACAGTGATGAGAACCACTCCACCTACAGTGCCAGAGAACCACTCCACCTACAGTGCTGGAGAACCACTCCACCTACAGTGCCAGAGAACCACTCCACCTACAGTGCCGGAGAACCACTCCACCTACAGTGACTGAGAACCACTCCACCTACAGTGATGAGAACCCCTCCACCTACAGTGCCGGAGAACCACTCCACCAACAGTGCCAGAGAACTACTCCACCAACAGTGCCAGAGAACCACTCCACCAACAGTGCCAGAGAACCACTCCACCAACAGTGCCAGAGAACCACTCCACACCACAGTGCCGGAGAACCACTCCACCAACAGTGCCGGAGAACCACTCCACCTACAGTGCCGGAGAACCACTCCACCAACAGTGCCAGAGAACTACTCCACCAACAGTGCCAGAGAACCACTCCACCAACAGTGCCAGAGAACCACTCCACCAACAGTGCCGGAGAACCACTCCACCAACAGTGCCGGAGAACCACTCCACCTACAGTGCCAGAGAACCACTCCACCAACAGTGCCAGATAACCACTCCAACTACAGTGCCAGAGAACCATTCCACCTACAGTGACTGAGAACCATTCCACCTACAGTGACTGAGAACCACTCCACCTACAGTGCTGGAGAACCACTGTACCTACAGTGACTGAGAACCACTCCACCTACAGTGATGAGAACCATTCCACCTATAGTGACTGGGAACCATTCCACCTACAGTGCCAGAGAACCACTCCACCTACAGTGCCGGAGAACCACTCCACCTACAGTGCCAGAGAACCACTCCACCTACAGTGCCAGAGAACCACTCCTACCCACTAGTGCTGGAGAACCACTAGTGCTGGACAACCACTAGTGCTGGAGAACCACTAGTGCTGGAGAACCATTCCACTAGTGCTGGAGAACCACTAGTGCTGGACCCACTAGTGCTGGAGAACCACTCTAGTGCTGGAGAACCACTAGTGCTACACCACTAGTGCTGGACCCACAGTGCCAGAGAACCACTCCACCAACAGTGCCAGAGAACCACTCCACCAACAGTGCCAGAGAACCACTCCACCAAGAACCACTAGTGCTGGACAACAGTGCTGGAGAACCACTCCCCCGAACACAATAAAGTAGCCGTCACATCTGCAAGAAAAATGATAGGTTGGATAACAAGAACCTTTCACATTTGAGATGCTATACCGATGATGATACTCTTCAAGACGCTTGTGCTCTCTAGAGTGGAGTACTGCTGCACAATGACAGCACCTTTCAAAGCTGGAGAAATTGCTGACCTGGAGAGCGTGCAGAGCTCCTTTACTGCTAGAATCCACTCAGTAAAACATCTAAACTATTGGGACCGACTAAAGAGCCTAAATCTGTATTCTCTTGAAGGAAGGCGGGAGAGATACAACACGTGAGAAATATTAATAGGGGCTGGTTCCAAACCTGCACTCAGAAATAACATCACATAAGACCAGAAGGCATGGCAGGATGTGCAGAATACCCCCGTTGAAGAGCAGAGGTGCAATAAGTACTCAGAGAGAGAACTCTATCAACATCAGAGGCCCGAGACTGTTCAACACGCTTCCACTACACATAACGGCGCATAAGTGGCCGACCCCTCACAGTGTTCAAAAGAGAACTCGATAAACACCTCCAAAGAATACCTGATCAACCAGGCTGTGATTCATACGTCAGGCTGCGAGCAGCCGCGTCCAACAGCCTGGTTGACCAGTCCAGCAACCAGGCCGCCTAAGCGATGACCGGGCCGCGGGGACGCTAAGCCCCGAAACCATGACAAGGTAACCTCTACAATGATTGGAAACAACTCCTGCTAGAGTGATTGGGGAATTACGCTATTTTCAAATGAAGATGAACTATTGGACAATCATTAAGTAGGAATAACTAAATTGCCTATCAATATAGATTACCATACCTGTGGTGGGTGTGGTACTATACCCAGCCTGTGGTGGGTGTGGGACTATACCCAGCCTGTGGTGGGTGTGGACTACCCAGCCTGTGGTGGGTGTGGACCACCCAGCCTGTGGTGGGTGTGGGACTATACCCAGCCTGTGGTGGGTGTGGGACTATACCCAGCCTGTGGTGGGTGTGGAACTATACCCAGCCTGTGGTGGGTGTGGAACTATACCCAGCCTGTGGTGGGTATGGAACTATACCCAGCCTGTGGTGGGTGTGGAACTATACCCAGCCTGTGGGGGGTATGAAACTATACCCAGCCTGTGGTGGGTATGGAACTATACCCAGCCTGTGGTGGGTGTGGGACTATACCCAGCCTGTGGTGGCTGTGGACTACCCAGCCTGTGGTGGGTGTGGACTACCCAGCCTGTGGTGGGTGTGGACTACCCAGCCTGTGGTGGGTGTGGAACTATACCCAGCCTGTGGTGGGTGTGGACTACCCAGCCTGTGGTGGGTGTGGACTACCCAGCCTGTGGTGGGTGTGGACTACCCAGCCTATGGTGGGTGTGGACCACCCAACCTGTGGTGGGTGTGGGACTATACCCAGCCTGTGGTGGGTGTGGGACTATACCCAGCCTGTGGTAGGTGTGGAACTATACCCAGCCTGTGGTGGGTATGGAACTATACCCAGCCTGTGGTGGGTGTGGAACTATACCCAGCCTGTGGTGGGTATGGAACTATACCCAGCCTGTGGTGGGTATGGAACTATACCCAGCCTGTGGTGGGTGTGGAACTATATCCAGCCAGTGGTGGGTATGGAACTATACCCAGCCTGTGGTGGGTATGGAACTATACCCAGCCTGTGGTGGGTATGGAACTATACCCAGCCTGTGGTGGGTGTGGAACTATACCCAGCCTGTGGTGGGTATGGAACTATACCCAGCCTGTGGTGGGTGTGGAACTATACCCAGCCTGTGGTGGGTGTGGAACTATACCCAGCCTGTGGTGGGTATGAACTACCCAGCCTGTGGTGGGTATGGAACCACCCAGCTTGTGGTAATAAGAAAATAACCTCCATAAACACTCAATATATACTTAAATAAACCAACAAATTATGTCTTACCTTTTTTTGGGGGGCGGGAGTCGAACCCCCTTCAGGACACGACGTTCTGGGTCGAGTTTTGATTATGTTTCTTCTATGTCTCACTCGAGAGAAAGGCTTCAAAAAGGTAAGCAACTAATATACACTTTTAAGTTTTAAATCACCACATTTAAGACACTTGTTCACTGCATCAGCCAATTACCAGGACACGATTGAATCACCTATATCACGTAACGAGCGTTTCAGCCCAACAAGGAACAAGACCAATTCATTGAACATTCACAAACTATTGTTCCTATTTTTTTTTTTTTTTTTTGTTTACTGTTATCAGTTCACGAGCAAAAAATATTTTTCCTCTTAAAGCTCCGTTTCTGTTACTTGATCATTTTATTTGGAATAATGTTCTTTCGTGTTATTGCTGTCGGGGTTTTTTTTCGGTGTAATGCTGACGCAAGTTTACGTGTGAGGCACTGTCAGCTAGTCAGCTAGAGTCAGCTAGAGTTAGCTAGAGTTGGCTAGAGTCAGCTAGAGTTGGTTCGAGTCAGCTAGAGTTGGCTAGAGTCAGCTAGAGTTGGCTAGAGTCAGCTAGAGTTGGCTAGAGTCAGCTAGAGTTGGCTAGGATCAGCCAGAGTCAGCTAGAGTTAGCTTGAGTCAGCCACAGTCAGCTAGTGTCAGCCAGAGTCAGCTAGAGTCAGCCAGAGTCAGTACCACCGAACATTACGCATGTTTCACTTCCAAGTCAACAGGTGTCAGAGGGCTTCGCTGTGCCCGTTGTGTGAACGCGTGCTGACTTATTCCCACGTGCGCGTTCCTCCCGTCATTGGTCAGCAGCGAGAACAACACCACATCCTCGCGTCAAGCACCACCAACACGGAATCCATTCGAGAAAGAAAACAAAATGACTAAAAATTCAAAAAGGTGTGGGGTTTGGTGCAGAGGGGAGAGGGCGGCGCGGCACGTGTGTACCCTCTGGCGTCTGCCGATGCACTGACCGGTTGGGGGCGTGGGACTCCCCGGATCACCCCCCTCCTCCCATCAATCCATTCCACCCCCCCCCCTCTCTCTCTCTCTCTCTCTCTCTCTCTCTCTCTCTCTCTCTCTCTCTCTCTTTCTCATTAAACTAAGATACCCCATTAAGAATGGTAATGATATCCGTAATGAATCTGCAAGAGCTGCTATCCTACATCAGTCATCTGAAGCCCATAACCCTAGGAACTGAGCTCTCAAGTGAGATTATTATTAGTTTTTCCCCATTACGAGTCAACTTTATTTAACGTTAAATTGCGACTGAGAAACACGCTTTCATTTGGTCACTTGACTTGATTGCCCCTTGTATCTACGAGTTGAAAAGTAGACGGAAAACGTGCTTAAAGCGAGTCAGGTTGATTGAGAATGAGATAGCCAGCATGAGGCTATTGACGGCTCGGCGCGACATCTAGTTATTATGGAATAAGTTCGTCGATGTGTGGGAACCTTGAAAGACGTCCACTTATACTCTTCGTCTTCAACCTTCGTCTTTAATCCTCTGTGTTGAAGACTCTTCTGTACTGAGCAGTTCAGCTACAACGTCCCCAAGACTAGAGGTTAATGGTCCTCTCGCATGAGATTCTACTTTGCCCAAAATTTGGATAAGTGACTGGAGGGCGGGGAGAATTATTACTTAACCTATACTTATATTGATATTACAGTTTTATAAAAATAATAAAACAAAACCAAAATATTTAAATAAATTGTAAAGTAACTCAGGATATTGTCAAATATTGTATAAAATCTCTATTGTTTGATAAAACTGAAAAAGAAATTCCTAATATAAAAACTGGTGTTTAACAAATCTATAGGAAGAGTTTGTACATTATAAACAAAATGTAACTTGGCATATACTACATATGTACTTATTAATCAGCCAAATAGTGACTACAAGCAATAAGTCATATATGTACTGTTTTGAGCGGGGAGCAGGTAATTCTGGAGACCGAACTGGCGATTCACATATATCGTTTTTAACCCCATGCTGTCGAGAAGATATGGAGACGTACCTTAAGACTCTTCTCTAAGTTTCTTGGCTACCTTGTTAATAGATTCAGCAGGTGACACTCCATGGATATTAGAAAGTGGAACTGTATCACTAAATTGTTCAACTTCATCTCTGAGCACTTGGTTTTATCCAGTCAACTATATGTTCGTAGCAATTGCAACATCATTCAGTGTTTGTACATTTATTGCTCTCAAATGTAACCCCGCCAAACACACACCGAAACTACGACGTTGGTACAACGTTCGAACAAGCTTTCACACCTCCTAACCAGTTATAACAACCAATATAGCAAGTAATAACAACGTTCTAATACGTCATAAACACTTTAAACCAAGATGTAACAACTTTATTACAAGTTGTAACAAGCGGAAAATAGAGACAGTTTCTGTTTGTATTTCCAGGGACCTGATATTGCCTTCCAGATGTAGAAATTGCTGCTAGTTTGGTTAACGAACCTCTTAGCAGTCGGCCTTTCCTCTCTTGTATACGTAATGATGAGAGGCTAGTTATCAGCGCTGTCTAGAATTTCAGGGAAAATGACAAGTATATTGCTGAAGTTAACACTCCACAACAAGGGGACAAGTACACAACCTTGTGGGAACACTGACAAGTACACAACCTTGTGGGAACACTGCTGAAGTT